ACAATCCGATGAAAAGAAAGTAATTACTATCTTGATAAATATCTATTGTGCTTAACTTTTTCATGTACTTCACCAGTTATTTACTGATAAAACAGCATGCCTTTTTATGCTTCAATCATTTTCCATATCAGGCAATTATTTTTATTTTGTTTTGATTATTTAAGTCATTATTTTGTTATAATATTTAATATTATACTAATTTTGATTTTTTGTAGTACTGAATTAGGAAAATGTAAGATGTTTTTCTGGTACATGTATGTTTGAGCATGTATCAAGGACAACAAAAGCTGTTAATAGAGATCCCTTTATAGTATCTAACTCGAAATACATTTATATTTTATATTTCTGCTTGCCATATTTTTGCATTTGCTCATCTCTGTCTTCTAGTTGCATTGCTAGTTGAAAAAATCAAATTTTATCCTTTGCATTCCCAAACTGATTTTCAGTCTCCGTTTTTCTAGGTACTATTTCAATTACCCATAATAAACAGGTAACAATTTTCAGTAAAATATAACTTACTTTTACTTGCTTCAAGATCAAATATCCTCATAAGAATCTCAGATTCTGCTGAAATATGAGTAATATGAGCAGATAACGTCTAACTGTTTTGCTTTTTTCGACTGACACTTCTTTGGTATGGTTCCTTTAACACTGTTTAAAGCTGGATGATTTTAATATGATATAGAGGTTTTGCCAGCTGTAAGAGTTCTACTGCAACAGCACTGAGAGCATTCAGCCTAATGAATTAACAAGGTAGAATTAGGGAAAAATCCCAAGACAGAAGACATTTTAATTAATGAATGTCATGGGAAAGATCAGTGCCTATCCTTTCCTTTGTCTGTAACTAAATATCTCCTTCTCTGTTTGTGTATTGCCACACAAATTGCTTGTGCTATTTTAAACTAAGGCTGTTGGACAGCACAGTACCAAAAATAAATGGAAATAAGTAAGTTCGTTTTTCTCATACTATGTACAATGTACATGTAACAGAATACGTGTTACCTTACCTCACCTCCCGCTACATTGCTCCCATTGTTCCCAGTACATTCATTCTAATCACTTATTTTGAATTCCAGCTGCTTGCTGCTTATGTGTGCAAAAGTTTCAATGATTCTTTCATAGTTCAAGTAATCTTCATTAAATGTGCATTAATGTGCATAAGTAAGTGGAATACAGGATGTTAGATTGGTCGAAAGTATGAACCTATTAATGTTTAGGAAAACTTACACGAGTAGACAATCTGTGGTGTGAATGCCTCTTCTGAAAATGCAGATCCTTTTAACTCTGCAGTTCAATACGTCAGACATGCGTGCAAGGGGAACTATGATTGCACATTGGCTGTTCAGGGTGGAATTTGCTTTAGGTGAAGTAGAAGGCTGAGAAAAGTAAACGATAAGGAGAGTGAGGTAAGAGATTGATTCAGCTTATGACAACTGTATTTAGGTATCTAAATGGAAGTGTCTGCGGTCAGGTAAGTATCTTTACTTTGCTTTACAGTCAATAGCAGCCTAGTTAATATGGCTACTGTTGTTACAACACGGTTTCAGCCAACATGCAAATAGGTGTCCACTTCTCAGTGAGCTGAATCACTTTCCAAGCTACACTGTCTCCTGGCTCCTGTGTAGATACTGAAGTTTAGACACGTAAATTTAGGCGTTACAAGCTCGAGTTAAATCCCACTTGATATGTCACACAGCTCATTACTTTGTTTTTGGCATTTGTGCTGGTAGGCAGAGCAGTTTAGCTTAGCACCTGTAACAAAAATTCATCAGATTTCTGTGAACAGACTTTCAAAATATTTAATAATAGAGCATAGCCCTGATTATTCTTTGTATGGGTGACACTCATTATACATAGAGTAGTTTTGTGCCAGCTGCATACCTTAATTTTTTCCCTGTTTCATCTTAACCCACCTTTTTCTTGCTAACTGCATTGTTTTCCACGTATCCGCACTGCCACATCCCCACAGAACATTGTGTGAGCGGGGAGTGGATGCTTGTGCTCCCAGAATTTGGGACAGTGAGACCAAAGCTGTAAAGCCAGTGCAGAGAGGAGCTGGGTGACTCCGCTCAGAAGTGTTAATGCTCACCGTCCTCCCAGGAAGGACTGCTCTCTGGCTCGCCAAAGCCAGAGCCCTCACACCTGGAAGGCTCAACACGGCGGCACGCAGCTTTCATAGCATGGCTTGCTTATACGTCTGGGAGCCAGAATACCAAATACCCCCACAGAGAAACTGGGACATGAAGAGCTTTAGCAACACTGATTCTTCAGTGCACTGAGTAACTGAAGTGAATACCGTAAATAAACAATTTTCACAGTTCTACCTGGACGTAGGACAGTGGACTTGACACAGTACAAATGTGTAAAATTTTTAACCATCCATTTCTCCTCGTGTCTTCCCTTACTTAGCTTATCCTGAAATTAATACGTGTCCTGCTACACAAAAGATTCTTCCTGACCATTTTGAACCCTGTACCTACTTTCCCCTTTTTTCTCAAGGCTCTGTTCTGAACTGGAACAAGTTCACATCTTTCTGCTACTCGGTCTCCAGACCTGCTTTTTCCTTGCTAGCTTTCGAGATCAACTTGCCAGCTTTTAGGATTGGCAAAGATTATTGAATCGTGGTAGCATGCTAACAGTAGCAGGTAGTGCTAATGACTGATTAGAATTTAATAGTAAAGCTAAGAATTAAGATTGTGTTCAGGAGCAGAGAAATATAAAGAGATGGGTAAAATTATTGCAGTTCAAGACAGAACTTTGTTTTCAGTATTTGCTTGGTTGAAAACAGCAAATCTCTTGCAAATGCATTGGGCCAATTTTCTTTTCTTGTTTAGCAGTACACATACCAGTGATTCTATTGGATTCAGCATTTCTTGTCAAGTTTGTTAAGGTCTTCCTCACTAAATGTGGAAGGATTTTACAACAAATATTAAGGCAACTTTAGCTAAATACTCATGATAAATTTGGCTGTGATGCCAAAATAATTTACTCGTTGTGGGCCAATTTGTCATCCCCGCCTCCTGTCATTCCTTCCCATAGCTTCACATTAGAGAATTCTCCTGTCACAGGGGAAGCTCTTGTGAGAACTGACTCTCCAGAGCCTATTCCAAGTCTGAAAACAGACAGGGCTATCAAGTACAGGGCAGGTTCTGTGAAGAAGAGAAGACCTCAGACTGTTGAGTGGATCTTCACACAAGAGAATTTGACCCTACGCATACCGGTTTCGGCTCCATTTCTGAAATAAATCTGCATGACGGTTTTGGGGTTCTGCCTTGTTCAAATGGGCAACTGTTTGGTCCACAGAATAACGCAGTTTAAGTATAGGAACAGCACTTGTGAATGTCAAAACATTGTTTATGTACCATTTAATCTCGTGTGATGGTGTATTTATTTGCTGTGTACTTGCTTGAGTTATTTTCATCAAGAAATGCTGTCTATGTGTTGCTTTGGCAACATCTTTGCAGAGTTTACAACTTTGAAAAACATGTTGGCATCAGCTATTGCAGTCCTTCTAAACAGCTGCTCTGCAGTCATGCTGTTTCAACATGCCACCACACATGGCTGAATTATGCAAATAGTTAATATTAAATGACTGCGATACAAGAACAATTTGTACACTCGATAAAGCTGGTCTGTGGAGTATAACATCCATTCATATAACTGAGTTTGTGTGGGACAATTTAAAGGCAACAACGTGATTCTTTTGACTTTGTATCTTGTATTAAAGACAGCAATGGACAGAGAGAAGGTATTTGGCAGGAATGTTTGAAAAGGCTGAGGGGTTTTTTTAACTCATTACTAATAATGCAATGAAAATAGAATGGGCATCAGTGTAATTTTCTGGCAAGTATTAAGAAATATGTAAGATATAACAAATGTTTGTCATTCAGTTATAAATATGAGTTACCCTGTTCTGGTTGAGAGAGGAGATAGAATGTTAATTATGTAGAATGCTAATACATGAACAGTATTGCTTACTGAAGACAACCGCATTTGTAAAAAGCAAGCAAACAGAAGCATTAATAGTTAAAAAAATGTAAAATTGTCTTAAAATTTACATTGAAAGGCTTTTCTGCTGACCTTGCTATTCTAGTTCTGCAATAATGAATGCTCTAAATAGTAATAGTACAATAAATAATAATAATCAATAATGCTTTAAATTCTGTAACTATTTTGTAGCAATTACACCCATTACATGTGGGGGGAGAGAACGTTAGGCACTAGGTGATGCAAGATGACAAAAGAAGATGTCCAGTTAAAGTCACAAAATACTATGTTTTTTCCTTTCTTACTATGCTGTACATTTTTAATAATCTGTTTTGTTCAGCTAAGTAGTAAGAAAAAGTGAGTTTTTTTATTAATCCGAATTGTTTACAAAGCAAATTATTAGAATATCAAGAATAGTCTGCATTTCTATATGCTCTTGTTTTTCTTTTCTCATGTTGGAACTTTCATTTTTCACAGAATTTCTACTCTGATCTCATTTTTGCTGTAGGTCCTCTTAAGGTTTTTCACTGATTTTTCTTTTCTGATCTGGATATAAAGACATATATATTTCTTGCAATGTATTTATAAGACATTTGTGCAAGACCTAGTGATCAAAAGTACAGTTTGTTACAGTCATTCAGATTAGATTGGTAAACTCCTTTGGCCTGACAAAACAAATCCAAAAGTATTATTTTAAATTAAAAGGGAGGCTTAAGTTAAAGGAGATAGTGGGTTCCTTATTACACAGTAAATGTTCTCTTTTACAGCCTTTAAGCAATGCAAAATTTGAGTTGTGTAAATCCTATGTGCCTTCTTTATTTTCTTGCGTTTACTAGTGTCCAATTAGTAATCTTATTTATTATGGCAAGTATATGTTCATGCTTGTTAGATTTACTGATCCACTTACGCATTTAGTTTGGTGAATATAAATTTATTATTTGCAAATGAATATTTAATAGGTTCAAATGTAATTTTACTGAATAACTTGGCATTGTTCTTTTGTGGTTTTATAGGAACTAGCCACAATGAAACAGATTCTGATTAGTCTACATGGTAAATGCTATGAAGAAAATTTACCTCAGTCTCATACTGATGTAAAAAGTGCGACTGCAAAAAACAAATCAAACCTTTCAGTAAAACTGTTGCCAGAACATGAAGAAGAAAATGTATTTAGACCTAAGCCAACGTTATTTGTAAGTACTGTGATAAGAGTAAGTGCCATAGGCTTTTTTGGTAATTCTCCTCACTTTTTAAAAAGACAAATGTGGGTTCATACTTCAAGGAGATGTATAATTAATTCAGCTGAATACTTGCAGCTCTTTATGGGAATGGGCAATGCTGAAGAGATAAATTACAGTTTATGATGTTATTTAGCTATTTGGTAGTTTCTACATTGTAAGTTCACAGCAAACTAGATTTTTTTTTAAAGATGCCATTGTAGTATTACAAGTGGTTAGCAAAATTTTAATAGCCGAAGGGATGCACAGACTGTGTATACAATTTTAAATCTACCCTGATCATGTATGAATTGAGTGTATATAGAGAGAGAAGCAGGAGTGAGAAAATAGATATATTTATGTATACTTATATTCATGTGTATATTTATAATAATGTGTGTGGGTGTATACATATCTAAATATATATAAAAAAATACATACCCAGCATTGATATCACTTCTGTTATGAAGGATATTTGATATTATAAAACCCTGTTTTATTCCTTTACAAACGAAATACTTGGATTTAAATACTTCCAAGTGGCCTGCTTCGGATTTAGTGCCTCTAGTATTTGAAAGCTTCATGCAAATGGTTTAGAAGTTTCTGACTATGACTGTGTCTGAACTGATAAATTTAAGAAAGCCAGGTTGCAATGCTGAATCACAAAACAAATCATGACTCTTATTACACTTCTTGAGGCTACCTTTCTCTAGGGTAGACTGGTTGTAGCCACATGTGCTATTCTGATCCAAATATACATCTATATGATTTTTTTTCTTTTCTTTTTTTTTCTGGTAGAGAGTTTAAATTCAGTGTCTTCAGCAATGTGAGGTTTGTGTTGCAGCTCATCAGACACTGTTTTTATAACAAAATGTAGGAAATGGTTACGTCTCTTGGAGTGATGTGAGGGCAATTGGGGATTGTAGGGGTTCAACATTTTCTTCGACAGTGTTGTGAAACTAAACACAGGCATACCCAGCGTTGTCTCCTCCACAGTCTTTTCAGTAGTGCAAACTCATACTGCCCAAACTTTGTCTTTGACAGAGCTATTCAGTGATCCAAAAGAAAGCCAAAACATGAGCTAACAATTAGGTTGTGTGGATGATCCGGGGTTTCAGTGTTTACTGTGTCCTGTCTTACTTAGGGACATAGAAATGGTGTAGGAATTTAGAAAAAATGCTTTGACATTTAGAAATTGTGACCAATTTCTCTTTGAAAAATTCCAGTCTTTTTAGACTTTGGAGCAGGAAACCGAAAATGGGCAGATGGCAGGGTTTCTTCTTAGATGGGGAAGGAAGTTAGTAGTCCTGTGAAAATCCTGCCAATTTAGGTCAATTTCTAGAATTTTCAAAGCTTGCATAAATAGAGCACATTTATTTTTGTAACTGAAATCTTCAAAATGAGAGAAAGATAGAGATTAAAATGTGATGAGAACCCCCACCACAAGGCCAGCTGAATAAAGTCAATTTTTAAATTGAATGATTTTTAAGTCTTGGAGGAAAGAACGAATAGAGAGCAGACAGAAAACGGAACTAGAAAGGGACAAGTTTAGGGACAACAGACAAAAGAGACAGTACTCACTAACACAGGAGATTATACCCAAACCTGAAAGCAGAATAGTCCTTACCTTGTTCCACCTCCACTTCTTTAGTTTTTTTTCTTTATACAAACGACCACTGAATTTGCCACAAGATTGTTATGCAATCCTGACTGTGTAGCAGTAGCCTGTAGGATTATGGAGGCAAGGCAAAGTCGCTCACAGATAATTCTCTGAGATTAAAATTCTTTCTACACAGTCAGAAAACTGCTGAATTCTTTTATTTTTAATTATATTTTTTAAGAACTATATTTCTGCGTAAAGTGTTGGTCAGTTATGGCACACCTAAGATCTTTTTTCTAAGTTCCATCCACTTCTCAAATGGGAAAGTCAGATGATGCTATTTCAAACGAAACCTATTTATGGCACAGTTGGTGCGTGTTTTCATTGTGATAGATATTTTAAAGCAAATCGTTTTCTTCTTACTGTATAATTTGCTTTTTATAACCTAGAACTAGGAAGGTTTTAATACAGGTATGTGGTAATAATAACCTTAAATGCAGAGTCTTGTTTTTAATTTATTTGCATTTAAGCGAAGAACTCAACTATCGCTGCAAACCACATAGAAAGGGAAGAGACTTTAGTGTATAGATTGTATGTTTTTTTTCTGACTTTCACTGTCTTATAATTAAAACATTCTTTATTTTACAGACAAATAAAGAGGCACCTGTATGGTACAAGAAACTGCAGAAGAAAACATCACCATAGCATTTTTCCAAAATTGGTCAAAATAATCCTTCAGGGAGCTTTTCTTTGAAGAAAGTTATTTTCACCATAATTATGCCCTTTTTAGCATAAAAGCAAACAACTCTTTTAACTATTCTTTTATACCTGTCAAATGATCTTATGCATCATAAAATAATTTTCAGATCTGTCATGTGAATAAAATGTGTGGAAATAATGCATGCAGTGATTTTACTAACATATATTTGAATTGTAAAAGATAAATAAACACTAGCATATTGTACACACAATCTGGGCAGTTAAAGGGCATGCTATTCTGTGTTCAAATTAATGCATGTTTCCACTTTTTTTACATTGTTTTTCTTGGACCTTATTTTTCATGTCACATTCCTTGCAACTATTCTGGCTTTTAGAAACTTTAAAAATATACATGAGTTAGCATCAGACTATATGCTACTTTCTATGAAGAAAATTCATGTCAGGTGGAAAAAAAGTTAATTTCATACCTGCCTTGATTTGTATAGTTTGTCATTTGATGTAATTTGTTCTACTAAACAGGCAATAAAAATATTCTTAAGCAATAAAATACATGTTAATTATCTGCACTGATATTTAATGGGCTAGATACACTTGCTCAAGCATAGTTACATCAGGGTAATAATAAAAATAGAGCCATGATGTGTGAGTACTGTAGCATGTAATGGTGAAATGGATAACTTGACATATTTAATTGTATGAAAATAAGACCCAACTTCCAAGAACACAGCCTACTTATTTATTCCACACCACCATCTATTTAGACTATAGAAAAGGTGTCTAATATTGTAAAGCACTTTTGACTGCACAAAGTATATTTCTATATATAACATAAATACAGATAATATTAAGTGACTGTATACTGAAAATATTACTCGGCTTTCACTTAAGAGGAAGCTCATTTTTCTTACCTCCTTTTTCCTTGACAATCTCTCTTCAACTGATTTGTTGTTCCTACCTGGACATGAACGATAATTATTTACTATATAACACTGAGCTATATCAAGCTTATGTTTCCTAGATGCACTTTCCTTCATTTTCCAAACAGCAGTTTGAAGCACAGCAATACTTCCTCTGCTCCAGGTAAGCTTCAGTTTCTCCATTATTTTTTTATAATTCTGAGAGAATGAGGTAAAAATGCTAGCAATTGCATATCACAGGATTAAAATTATAATTCTGTGAGTGAGGGGGGCCAAGTGTGTAGACAGCAGTAATAACTTTTATTAGACTAACTGGTGGTCACTGGGGAAAAAGCCTTTGGGCTCACAGACCTATCTGTACAGACATTCCTGAATAAACTTTGGTTTCCTGAAGTCTAGGGTTTTATCTAAGTTGTATTTTTATGTGAATAGAATCATTAACATGTCTTTCATGTGAAACAGCTCCCATAAGCAGATGTAGTTTGTAATAGATATTTTATGTGATTCACAGTCCCTGCTTTAACTTCGCAGACTATCATGTTTGTCCATTATCACCCAATAATTAATTAATTGTATTATCTAGAAGGACTGTGAGCTATTTTAGGTAAGATACTAGTTGGAATCTTAAGTAGTCACAATTTATTCTCCTGTAGTATCCTTATAGACAAAGATATGGACTACATTGTGGGTGAAAACAAGCTCAAGGAAATGTGATCAGCAATGCAAAGTGCAACTGGCAAATAGTAGCATCCCCCGACAAGTTCATAGGCAATACCAACTTTGAGGGAGTAGTCTATACACTGGAAAGTAGGGTTTCAGAGTGACCTCAGCAGGATGGAAACTGGGTCAACAAGAACTTTATGAAGTTCAACAAAAGCAATAGCATTCCTACATCTAGGATGGAATGACCCCATATGCCAATACTGGCTGGAAAGCAGCTTAGCAGAAACAGACCTCAGGGTCCTAGTGGACAACAGATTGAACGTGAGTCAGCAATGTGCCAGCCAGCCGCGTCCTGGGTGGTATTAACAACAGGATAGCCAACAGACGGAGGGAAGCAATCCTTCCCTTCTGTTTGGTGCATGGGACACCAGATCTGCAGTGTTACACCCAGTTTTAGGCTTGATAAAGACAGACATCGACTTTTTGATGTGAGCCCTGCAGAGATTCGCTAAGATGATCAGGGGCTGGACCACCTGATGTGGAAGGAGAGGTTGAAAGAACTGGACTGGTTCAGCCTTAAGAATAGAGGGCTTAGGGGGGAACTTGTTGCAGTCTCCAGCTACCTAATGGGATGGTGAAGAGACAACAGAGCCATACTCCTCTCAGAGGTGCACAGCCATAGAGTAAGAGACACTGGACACAAGACAGAGCACTAAAAAACTTGGTTAGCTGTTATGAGAAATGTTTTTACTGTGAACAAATACTGGAACAGGTTACCCAGAGAGGTGGTGGAATCTTCATGCTTGGAGAAACTCAGAACTCAACTGGACAAAGTCCTGAGCAACCTGATATAATTGGACCTGACTTTGGGATGGACTAGATGACTGATTTTCAGAATTTCTGTCCAACCTGAATTACTCTATGGTAGTATTTCTAAATATACGAAGATAAGATAGTGACATTAATTTACTTCTTACCATCCAAAAGATACCAAGTGTTTAATTCTTCCATGGAAACACAATACACAAGAACATTTTGATGCTTCCAGAATGAATTGTGCGTTGCGTATTTCTGTGTCCTCCAGGAAGTCTGATTTTCTAGGAAGGCTGACAGAAAATCAGGCTGATTTGTGGTGAATTTTTACTGACATTTAAACAGTTCTTCAGATGACAAAGTGACATATTCTGGCAAAGGTTTTTTTAGAAAATTGCTAACAAGGTCCATCTTTAACTTTGCAAAAATAAGACTAATTTGTTAGTTTATACTGATAACACATAATGCTGTTGGTAAATTCTTGTAATCCATGTAGTCCCTGTTGTAAATCTCCTAAGTATGTAATTTTTTTTTCCAGTTGAAGCATTTGTATTTTTCCTGTGTCTCCTCACTAGACTCCAGGGCTATAACTAATTATCTAGGAGGAGACCTTCTAAGCTTTTCATGTGAAAGCTAGGATGTCACTTAAATATAACTATTCAAATGTGAAATGCCCTACGGCAAAAATTAATGAACCTTTTTGCTCTTTAAGTAATTAAAAGGTTCAGTTGCACTACCTGGACAGCATTTTTACTGATGTTATTTCCCACAAACATAGCTGTGGAATTATTCCAAAATTCTTCTTCATGAAATGGTCCTTGCAGTTTCCCATTGTAGTAGGCCTTGTGCCAATGAAGTGTGAGTCAAAAATAATGAAGTAAAGAGAAATTTGTAAGGGTAGTCATGCATGTAAGCAACTTGTGACTGAAGTGCCCAACCCACATAATCATCCTCAGTTCCTCTTTTTCAGACTAAAGGGAGCAAAGAGAGAAAAATCTCTATCCACTGTTACATTTCTTGGTACATTAAGTTGGTGTTACTTAAGTGACAAGTTTCGTAAGTGTATGGGCTGCACAGGAAAGCAGGAAGGACAGTTGGCTGAGAGGAGATTAGGATTTTTCAGCAGTATAATTGTTTTCTCTCTTTTCTGTCCCTTGCTAGAAGCAAAGAAGCTCTAAAGTGTCAAGAAAATCTCTGAGGAAAAAACTGAAAACATGAAATGGCTTTTTTTAGTAAGGACCTAAACTTGTTGCTGCACCCTGTGATCATACTTCACTGGCGTTGTGGTTTCTAAATATTTTCTGTGCAAAGAAACGGTGTGTCGTTTGGGTTTGTAGTCTTCCTCCCCATGAAGACTTTCTGTACAAAACAGTGGTGAAACCTTGTAAAAGAGGAACAACTGTAAATCCAAACATTAGTTGTCTCAGTATTTCCCAGTATCTCTGGGATACAATCTGCTGCTTCTTACACTTTCACTGTTATTTTCTGTTTAAGCTATCCTTTTGTATGATATCTTGTTCCAGCAGAAAAGGAACACTAACTCTACTAAATCTCTGACATCTGTGAGATGGTCAGGTAGAATTCTTTTGCTGCTGGGATGCATTCATCAACTTCCATGTCTTTGTGAGTCCATCACTTTCTAGAAACAAGTCTTTGAAGAAGTGTTTATGTTATTATGTATATGCCTCAATCAACTGTCAGTCTGTGCACATTTGCGTGAAAACAGATTTATACGCAACTGTTTGAGTCTGCAACAGCCTGTCATCTTTCAGGGTTACTCTCATTAGGGAGGTTTGCTGAGGAAAGATTTTATCTCCCTGTTAACATTACATTTAATAGAACACATGGTAGAATTTTTACCGAGTCAAAGAAATGTATCCCTGGTATTTTCGTATACCAAAGAATATCAAGAATCGGTATTCATTCTCGACCTTTGCAAATGAAACAAGTATCTCTAGAAGATCAAGTTTTGCTTAGTGTCTTTGGGCAATATTATCCTCTTCTTAAATTCCTAGGATTGATTGGGAACTCTTGACCTTTAAAACGCATACTTCCGTAGCTTAATTAAGGCGGTTACACTTAAGGTGTTTCAGACTGAAGCTGGGCAGCAGTCGGCAGCAGCACAAGGTGCTAACTCTTGGAGGACAGCATCGCTAGCGGAAATGGACAGGAGCTGGGAATTAGGGAAGAGGGTGGTGGGTATTCCAGAAGCTTTTAGCAGTAGAAGTAGGCACAGCTCTTCACAGATGTCAGACCCTCTGCAGCTCTTTAAGCCCTCTGCTGACAGCACAAGAACCACCAACTTCATTCCACAGAGTTCATTTTGCAGAGTTCCCTGGGTTTCTTTCCTCACTGATAAGTTTTCCCTAATGGTAAATACCCATTGTTGGGGGGTTTTTTGTTGTTTGGCATTTTTTTTTGAGAGAGACAGACTCCTTTTTCTCAGGACATTGGAAGTGGGTTCAAAAAAATGGCGAATTTTAATCAACTTTTACCCCTTAAAGGATGAAGGGGACAAAAAAACCCAGCAAATTTCATCCCCATGAAAGCAGGAAGTGGCAGAAGTATTAAATGCAAAAAGTTCAGACTGAT